AAATCAAACTTGAATTTTTCAAATTATTGCTTTCTTATTATATGTTTAAAATGTAGTCAAAACTATGCAGTTTTGTGTTAATTCAATATTTGAAAAATTTATATCAGTCAGTGAACGTAACTGTGATATTATATATACATGTATTTTCCTTTCTAGAGGTGACTTTGCTATTAATAGTATTTAATGGTCAGATGATGATGTTAATGAGGTCGATCGACGACAAAATATTAATTAACTCCATTGTATTATATTTCATGAAGTAACTAAATAAATTACATGCATATATACATGCATGGATGGATGCATGAGTGAGCCTGGACAATAATCCAAGCAAATGTCACCCGATGTATGGCAATAGTTGACAGGATATTTACCTTTTTCTTAAAAAAAAACATTTGTAATTTGTAAGGACAATTGAACGACCATTTAAATATGGTTTTACGAAAAGAAATTCAAAAATTTAAATAGTAGTATGTTATCGAGGTGATTAAAGTCGAGAAAATGGCATATTTGGGCTTCCTGTGATTTTATACCGGGGGTCGTCGCGTGTGACTCAAAGAGATCAGATCTGATCTAAGTTCATTATCGGACAACGACTCTGAATACAGTTTTATCCCTTTTGACCTCTGTCAGGTCATTATTCGTCCAGACTCGAGCTCCCGGTATAATTAAAAGCACAGGAAGCTTTTTTGTGAAGTTTTTTTTAAAAAACTTTTGTGAAGTTTTTTTTTTAAAAACTAACATTAAAATCAAAAAATAAATAAAATAAAATAACTCAATAACAAACTACCGTTTATTTGAATAAAATCCTTTATATGCATCGTAAGAAATATAAAACGTGTTTCCGTGTTTGATACTCTGAACAAAACACACGGGATGTAGGGAGAAAAAACACGCGAAACGTATAGTAAACCACGACTCGTCGAAGCGGGATGAAGAGCAGTTGAACTAAATCTACAAGGAAAACAATTTAAAGGACAGATTTATTAATCAAAAAAAGCTAGAAAGTCAACAAAAATAACCGTGAAACACGATATCTGGATNGGATTTATGACACGGATCGGTATTGTATTGTCTTCGGACACGCGAGCTAATTCGGCCGCACCGAAAATTGAATATCTCTCTGGCAATTCTTCTCTGGCTGTGACTAGGCCAATTGACAAAATTGGAACATCCTTAAGTTTTCCCGGAATTATATTTTCCGACTGCGGAGGCAAAATATAGGTTGACACGGCATGTACCGAGTGTGTTACGGTCTTTTCTTTGTTCTGCTTGGGCGCCAGTAGTAGCTTCCCACGATCAAAATTTACTCTACATTCGTAGTGTGTTAAAAAGTCTCTCCCTAATATTACGTCTACTGTGAGGTTTTCGATTACATGTGTCTGAAAAGGAAATATGCAATTCTCTATACCATAGTTAATGGTTGCTTTTCCAGCGGTTTTCAACGGTTGGCCACTGACAGTTTCTAAAATCAAATGATCGGAACACTTTTGTAGGGTATATTTATTGCTTAGTATATTCCACAAGTTTTTACTTATTGAGGTTAAAGCTGCGCCAGAGTCTACTAAAAACGTGAGTCTGTGTTTTCCTATGTGACCTTCGACGGTCAATTTTGTTAAGTCTACGTCTGTCTCGACATGAGTTTTACTCTCACTTATGACATTTACTTTTGATAGGCCATTCTCGTTTACTTCTTTGTTTGTTACTGCCATTTCTWTATTTGTATCATTTTTGTCGCGCGGTTGTATTTGAGGTTTTGTCTCCTCTTGGATAATAGTACTGTCTTTGAACATTTCTGTAGTTGCAGGTTGATTAGTGCACATTTCAACTCGCTCCGAAGGAAATGCAAGATTTTTGTACTTTATTTCTGATTTTTGTTCTTTGTTCTGTGCATTTATTGGATCCATATGCTTATTATCTGTTACTTTACTGTCCTTTATTTCTGGACTAGTTTGTGTGGCCTTACTTAAACTTTTTTGTTTTGTCTGTATTTGTTTTGACTCACTTAAATTGGCAGTTTTTATTTCGTGCTCCTTGGCACTTTGACATTTTTCCGCGCGTTCTATTTTCCTAATATCTGTGTCAATCTGACGCGAGCTCTCTTTTTCATTTATTTTGGTAAAATGTGGTTCCGAATTTGAAGACTTAGAAAATTTATGGGCCCCTACCGATATTGGACTTGCTGTCTTTGCGATAGGGGCCCCAGTCAGTTTCCCTGACCGGGTTGGCCCTGGTGTCCTCGGCTGGAACAACGAACATCAAATGTTTGTTTTTGACTTCTCGGGTCGCGTTGTCGACCTCTACCTTGGAATTGCATACTCGTGTTTTGCTCTTGTAAAAATCTACAATTATACATAGAATGACCTTTTTTCCCGCAATAATTACAAATAATTACACCGGTTTTGGTGCGTCCACCCCTTGCAAAGTTGCTAGGATTTTGGAAACTACTGGCCTCATTCCTTCCTTGACTTGAGGTCTGCGCATTTCTTAATTCTTTTCGTAACTCTTCGCGAATTATTTCTCGAATGCTTTGACTTTCCTGTTTAGGCTCGTGTTTTGACTGATACGTAGGATTCGGGACGTAATAGTGGGAAGGTTTCTCATTAATTCCCGCAACTTGGGGCGCCTGCGGCTTACTTTCAGAGGTCATGTTAAGCGACTTAAGCTGTTTAATTATCTCCTGAGAAATTTCCTTAGTATCTATTACTCCGCTAGCGCTCGGAGAAACGGATTCTTTTCGTTTTGCGAAATTTTCCGCCGCTTCAATAGTATCCGGCTGTTGGAGGACGACATAGTCTTTTATGTCTGGTCTTAGACCTTTTACGAAGTGATGTACCCACTCAGTTCTAGGAAGATTTAGTCTTCTACACTGTTGCCTTATGTCACTTATATACTCAYTGAGTTTTTCGTCTGGTTTCTGCTTACGTTGCTCTAAGTTTTGCCTTATGCGCCATTTCGAAGCTTCTGAGGAGAAATGCGCTCTTAATTGCTGGTTTATTTCCGGTAAAGTGATTATATCTTTATTGGGCAAGGAATTAAACCACATACTTGCTGTTCCCTTTAAATAGAGGGGTAAGGCTTGCGCCTGTTTTCTAGCATCCCAACCGCAAAACTGAGCCGCTCTTTTGAAATTACAAATGAATTCGTCCACATCTTCTGTTTCATCCCCCTTAAAGGTTGGAAATGTAAACGATCCTCTTATACTTAACGCGTCAGTACATGCTCTCTGGATTCTCGCCTCATGTTCGCTCTGCTCTCTTCTCATTTCATGCAACTGTTCCTCCATGCTTTGCCTTCGACTTATTTCCTCGTTTTCATCTTCGAACCTATCATCATCTGGGGGTCCTCCCGCTATTAAAACAGGGTCATACAGTAGATTTTCTTCGTGTTCCTCCGTTTCTAACCACTCGGGTGGTTGTGGTAAGCTGTGTAAATTAGTGGGTGGGGTTGGTAATATTCTTTCTGAAGATATGTTCCGATTTGGTTGTGTAACTTCTGCTTCAGCCCTCCCGGAAACAAATGATGGGTGCCGATCTTCG